GCCCTAGGTTGGGGGGCTCAGGGGGGCGTGGGGAGCCGTGGGTCAGGTTGGGGGATGGACGTGGGTGCAGCTCCCTCAGGTATGCCTGGGTCAGGGGCCGGGCTGGGCCGGGCGAGGGGTCCTTCCTGGCTGCACAGGCCCCAAGGGCCCCTTGCCTGGTGCAGAGTGCGCGCAGGTGGCGCGGGGCCTGGAGGCATGGCGGCAGCGGTGCGTGGAGCTGGAGCAGGACGGGCACCGGGCGCGGGAGCAGCTGGCCCGGGCGCAGGTGGAGCGCGCGACACTGGAGGTCAAGCTCAAGCACGCGCGCAACCAGGTGGAGGTGGAGATGCGGCGTCGGCAGCGCGCCGAGGCCGAGCTGGAGAAGCAGGTGTGGGGCGCGGGGCCGGCGACGCAGGGGGTCCTGGGTCCCTCTGGGCGCTGCCCCCTGACCCGCCGCCCCCCGCCACACAGGACCGGCAGCTTCAGCTGATCTGCGGCTACCTGATGCAGGAGCCCTCGGGCCCCAGCGGCACCGCCTCCAGCCTGGCCCTGGGGAGACGGTGAGCACTGGGGGTCTGGGGCTGGCCTGAGCCCACCTGCGGTGGCCGGCACCTGGCGGAGACTCCGGAGCCTGGCGGTGCCCATTGTTCCGGCTCCTGGCCTGTGTCCGCACGGCCGACCTGGCAGAGCTGGCACAGCTTGTGCCCGAGTCCCCGGCGCAGGCAGGGGGCCTAGCTGGCACTGACCCTGGCCCTGCCACAGGCTGTCCGTGGTGGACGAGTCGGGTGCCTCGCTCCTGTCCCATTCCGGCATCAGCTACGACCCCACGGACGATGACCTGGTAGGAGCTCGTCGGCGAGGGGGTGAGGGTCGTGCCCCATCCCAGCTGGGTCCAGAGATGGACCCGGGATGGGGGAGGGCAGTAGGAGCCCAGTGGCCCCTGAGCTGGTCTCTGCCACCCTGAGACTGACTCGCCAGCAGCCCCGAGTGTGGCAATAAGGGCACGGTTTGCTCAGGCCCTGCAGCATAGGGAGCAGGACACGTGGCCCCCGGGCTACGGGGAGCCCAGTGCCTGGACTCCTGGGTTCTGACGCGGGGAGCCTGCGGGTCCGTCCTGGGCCAGGCCCCTGCAGCAAGCTGCTCCCGGGGGCCAGGGTCGTGGGGCTGGGGGTGCAGCTGCAAGGGGTGTGGGGGCCACAGCAAGGACCTGCAGGGCTCAGGCTGGTGGCTCTGGGCCCTGGTTTGTCCCTGGGGCTGAGCTCCCAGCCCTGATGCTGTGTCCTGCTGCCCCTTCCCCTTCCCTTGCAGGACCTGGATGTGACGGTGGCCCAGCTGAAGCGGCGGTCCCAGGAGAGGCGGGTGGGTGCCACACGCCCTGCACCGCGGCCCGCAGGCTCCATCCTCCCTCACGCGTGGATGCCACGCTGCTCCCGGTCTCCCCAGGGCCGGTGCTGCTTCCCGCCCTGCCACCCCGGGGGCTGCGGGAGCCCTGCTGTCCTGGTGCAGGGCAGTGCAATGGTTAGAGCAGGGGGCTACAAGAGGCGAGAGCGCTGGGCCCAGCTCTGTGTGGGGCTCCCTGCTGGTCTAGCCACGGGGCCCGGGCGCTGGAGCCCTGGTGCTATGGAGAGGGTCCGCGCAGATCTGGTGCCCGTGTGCACTGCTGACCCGCCACGGCTCCGCTCTGCCCTCAGCACTCCTCCCTGGCACCGGTGGTCGGCCCCATGGTGCTGGCAAAGCACTCGCGCCCGTTAGCGGAGACCACCACTGTGAGTACAGGACTGGGGACCAGGACCCGCCTGGGCACGGGGTCCTGGGGTACAATGCTGCCCTCCGGGGGGAGAGGGGAGGGGCCCAGCCCTCAGTCCCTGCCCCCCCCAGGAGAGCGAGCCCCAGGCGCTGCTTGCCGCTACAGTCGTCACCAAAGGCCCCAGAGCTGTTGGCGCCCTCCCGCCCGTGCCACGCCGCCGGTCCCGTCAGGCTGCCTGCCTTTCCACGCTTGCAGGTCGTTCCTGCCCCGGAGTGGGCAGAGCACAAGGGCAGGCCATGGGGCGAGGGCAGGGGGGCAGTTTGGGGGTGACAGGGGGAGTCTGGGTTGCAGGGGTGGGTGTGCCGGGAGGTGCCCACGCGAGAGGGACTGGGCTGGGCTCGGGGCTCCCCTAGGGTGAATGGGCCCTGCTGTGCGCCCCCCCTCCACTGACAACCCCCCACTGGCAGCCGGGACCTTGGC